GTGTGTGTGTTTGTGTGCACATTTATCCTGGTATACCAATATCTGCTGTGTTCTTGTTTGTGTTTGACTGCTTGTGTCAAAGTGAAATTAGACTGTGTTCATTTGTGCTGAGAAAGAATACGAAACATAGTCAGTCACTGAATGTGAACCAACACCAACAGAAAATGTTGATAAAGAAGATTTTGATTAATCCCAATCAGGTTTTTGTGTTTTTCCCCAAGTTGAGAATATGTATATTTTTGGTGTTTCATGAAAATTCATTTTTTACTGTTTAAAATCAATTTTCCAGGAATCCATGAGTAACAATGAAAAATAGGCTTTCCAAGCAGGCTATTGATGGTCAGGAAAATGAGAAAATTTAATGTGCTCAATATGTGCACAGACACTAAATGACAAAAAGGCTTTAATCATCAGCTACTCTAGACGCTTGTGCTTTAAACACATTGCAATCCTTATCCCTCTTAGTGCCTCCATTTATGAACATATTGAGCAAATTAAATTCTGCATAACCCCTCCTTTGTTTCTGAGTAAAATGAATACCCCCAAAAATATTATATAGACCTGTATAACACCAAAAACACCAAAAATCCAGTATAAAAATAAGTTTTTGCCTCTCAGGCTACATATAGGCTGGACCAGTTTTATACATTACATCACAAAAAACCTACTGTGCCCTCATCTGCATGTTTTGGGGAACAGTCCTTACTTATAAAAGGCACAATTACCAATTTCATCATTGTGTGTTGTTTTCTTCTAAATGCAGAAAATGGTATTCATTCACGGTCATTTTTATCTGGTTAAGAAGCCCTGACTTCATTCTGTTCCAACTCCATCTAGCAGGCCTCCGCCTTTACCGGTGGATGAGAGCGGGGCCACTCACAATATGGCTTTATCTTACGCTGTAAATCTTCAATGTAAATTTACATTACATTTTAAAGTTTAATATGTTTTATTTTACAAATTTCCTACACATTTACAGGATACAGGAAATGTATTAAAAGAACTACCCTTGTTCTAATTATAGGGAAAATAAGGGCGAGGTAAATTGGTGCATTTCCAATTGATTAATTCCAATTGATTACTGATGTAACAGAGTCAGTACACAGCAGCTCAGCTAGACATGTACAAATGTGTTGACAGGCAAGCAGACAATTCAACATACAAGTAAAGTAAAGTTTCTGATAAAGTAATAGCAACTTGTTGATACAATTCCTCTGGAGCTTTCAATCATAACACATGATCTTCCTCAGCACATGTTGTCATGGACTTCTAGATGTTTAACTTCCCATATTGCAGAGTTCTTTTCCTCGTCTCATCTGCTGACGAAAATCCAGTGAAATGATCGAAAGCTTCAGAACAGCGACTAACTGGACCTTGTGGTGGGATTGCTTTCCCGGCTGCTGTACTAAGGTCAAGACTGAACCTTGAATGTCAACATTTACTTGGATACAAGGAGGTTTTTGTTCAGGGAAGTCCCTTTTTTAGCCTTTAATTAATATCCAAAAAAGAAAACAAAAATCAATTTGGTTGGACCACTTTTGGGCCACTCAAGTCATCTCTATGCATGAGAAACACTGCTGGGTTGTTGTTGTGTGATTGATGTCCTGACACACCTACCACCTTTCATAACACAGCGCTCCCATTGGCTGTGGTACACTTCATCTCGAAATGGTCTCGCCCAAACCCCCCCCCCCCCC